TGAAAATTGTGGTTTGCAGGTGAGAGTTTTTTGGGAGGGCATATATTAAATATGATTATTTGCTCTTCTTTTTAATAACTGGAAATTATGCTAAGAGGTACTCAGTTATGTATTCTAATTAAGATAAAGCTTTTGTAGAATAATAATAAAAAATCAAATTAATTTTTTGCCAGTTAATACTGACGGAATGCCTTTGGTTATGAATTTGGAATTTATTCCGACCTTTCAGCTTCATCTGCAAAGGAGCCTGAAATGAGTTAAAAGTTGCTGTCTTTGCCCTGTGTGGAGCTCAGAAACAGCACCCATTTATTTAAACAAAAAAGCCATTAAGATGAATTAGGTTTGTTTCTAGGGAGGTATTGAGAGGACTGGAGCAAAGGAGAGAGACCGAAAGGGTAAAATGCGTGGTGTATGAGTGGAACAGCCCTGAATCATTCTTGTTAAGAGAGTTAAGGTTTGAAGAAAGCAGTTGGGTCTGGACTGCAAAGATTTAGAGAACCACTAGATCAGGGATAGGCAACCTTGGCTCTTTTATGACTCATGGACTTCAACTCCCAGAATTCCTGAGCCAGCCATGCTGAGGGGAAAGGAGAAGTTTCCAAGCTGAGCCATGCTGGCTCAGGAATTCTGGGAGTTGAAGTCCACGAGTCATAAAAGAGCCAAGGTTGCCTACCCCTGCACTAGATTGCAGCAAAGGGACACAGAAAAATCCAAACACTGGTGCTACCACCCTAATAAAGTTTAATTTCAGACAAGCAATGAAATCCTAATAAAGTTTAGTTTTAAATATCAAACAAACAATCAAGCAGAAAATAATACCCCCAATCAAGGAATTACCAAGGAGAAAACCACATCCCTACAAACATTGGCAGGGCAATCTATTGTATATAAATACTGATACTTAAGCTTTCTTAAAGCCTGAAACTATTACTATTAATATTCATCCATCCATCCATGCATTCATTTCCACAATCATTGGGAAGCTGTTAAGAATTTACGAAAAACAACAAAGGTATTTAAATAAAATGTGCACAGTAGGGATCAAAGGAGCTCCAGTGGCTCATGTGGTTTGCAGATGGAGTTAGAAGACCATTGAGAGGTCGATAGCTCAACAGTTCAAAACACAAGAATGAGCTGTGTGACAAAATGAGCTCCCGTCAATTTATCCCATCTCCTGCCCATGTAGCAGTTCGAAAGCATGCAAACGCAATTAGATAAATAGGTACCACTTCAGTGGGAAAATACCAAGGACATGAAAAGAGCCTCCTCGCCTGTCCCCTGGGCAATGGTGATGTCACCAGCTAATCCTTTCAACAGGAAAACACCTTGGAAAAAGATGCTTTTCACACGAATGGAGGAGGACAAATCAAAATAGTCAACATCCGTTGGACTAGACCAGGGGTAGGCAACCTTGGCTCTTTTATGACTCATGGACTTCAACTCCCAAGCTGGCTCAGGAATTCTGGGAGTTGAAGTCCATGAGTCATAAAAGAGCCAAGGTTGCCTACCCCTGGACTAGACTCTCCAGAAGTTCCAGAATATCAGGACATTTTTAATGAGGAGGCTGTTTCATAAAAGAAATGGGAACAATAAGCATCTTATGCCAAGTGTCAAAAGTAAAATGGGTCAATTGAAAGAGGGGGTTCTACAAAGATCCCTCTGACAAACTATGCAATCACAGAATATATAATACTCCAATTCTCTATATTTTTGCAAATTATTTCTGTAAAAACAAATTTATTGCTGATATCATTGGATCGGTAGATTACTCTCTATAAAATGTAATCCAATTCATACAAAACTGCCAGAGTTTCAGAGGCTGGTAATTCATATGGATCAAACCAGGAATGTAACAGATGCTTTTCACTGCCATTTAAACCGATTGGGATAAATCATATTCCTTTTATAATCTTTCAAAAGTAAGCTTTTACTGAAACTCTGGTGTTGGTTTTTCTCATGCACATAATGTTGGGACAAACAGGGCTGACTCAAAAATGCATTAAACGTAGGGTGACAGACATTCGTACATAATCAAACAATGAAGTCATCTGCATATCAAATAGACTTGTTTTGAGAAGCTTTCAATGCAAACCACAGAAAGGTGGGCTTAGGATTACTTGGAAGTCCTGTTGCAGTAAAACAAACAAGGATAAACACAAGTCATGTTTTATGTACAAAATTAATGAGTTTTGCTTATTTTATTAAACTGAGAAGGTTTCTTAGCCCCCTACTTTCCATTCCACAGCTGCTTGCTTGGAAAACGGAAAGGTATACAAGCAGAGATTCAATGAAGTAAATATTTGATTAGCAATTCAAATGCCAACTCAAAACCTGCTTCTTATTAGGAACTAATCCACAATATCGCATTTGAGTACCTGCAGATATTTTTAATTTGCTTAAATTTAATTTTGAAGATTCCAGAGGAAGTAAATGCTAAACTCCAACAGAGGTACAGTAATTCTTAAACATGGGTGAAGGAGTTGCAAAAAAACAAATTATGCTTGGCCTGCTTGTATCTTTCTTAAAGATAGGACATTTGGGAAGAACGATACACAGTCTCTGGTCTCATCCAGCACAATTCTTTTAACGTTACTTTTTCTACTTAGGAGTAAACAGCATCAGAGGAGGAATAAACAACACTAGTAAAAAAACACCAGAAGGCAATGGATGGAAACATTTGCCAATGGATGGAATCAAGGAGAGAAGCAATCTAGAACTAAGGAGAAATTTCCTGATAGTGAGAACAATCAACCAGTGGAACAGTTTGGCTTCAGGGGTTGTGGGTAATATTCAGAAGGCTTTTAAGAAGAGACTGGATATCCATTTGTCTGGAATGGTATATGGCAGGCATGTCAAACTCGCAACGTCACATGACGTCACGCGATGTATCAGGACGTTTTACCTATTGCTGGCAATGGGATGGGCGCAGTTTCATTGTGATATATCTGGCCCGCAGGCCGGCAGTTTGACTGGTATATGGTCTCCTGCTTGAGCAGGGGGTTAGACTAGAAGACCTCCAAGGTCCCTTCCAACTCTGTTATTCTGTTAAACATTCCTTTATCTTTTACTCTGAAGCCAAGTCACCTCTCTAAAACTTTGTCAGTCAGTATGCAAGAATTGCAACCCCTGTTACAATCCACATTTTTTAACTTCAAAGACTGAGTTCAGTGGAGTTCATTACCAAGGAGGTATGTATAAGAATGTCATTTTAACTTGGAATTAAATATATAAATTAATGCAGACATGTCAAACTCGCTACATCACGTGATGTTGCGCAACGTATCGGAGCTTTTTCTCCATTGCCGGCAATGGGGTAGGCGCGATTTCCTGGTGACGTGTCTGGCCTGCCGGCAGTTTGACACCCCTGCGTTAATGAAAGGGTAGAATCCAGAAGACAGTCTAAGCTGGATGCCATTTTGAAAGCTGTTTTATGTACATGATTCATGCTGCAGTACAACAACTAGTGAATAATTCTTACAAGCCTCAAACAAGACCAAGATCTAATCCAATCCACCTGTTGTTAATTTTTTATTTGCAGATAGCTTTCCTAGTGAAGCATGAAAAGAGGATTTAAATTAGGCTATAGTTGTGTTAAAATGAACAAGGCCATTCTGCTTAATGACCAATTTCATTTTGGCTTCCTCTCCTTGAATTGTTTTGATTACCAAAGGATATGATGGCTATGTTTGCATAAAATGCATTTTGGCTACTCAATGAACTAATTTTATAAGTTCATACAATACAAATCATTATCCACTATCTGGATTGGATTTGGACAACATACTAAACCAAAAAGCAATTGCTGATCAGAGGCTCAATATGTCATAAGAACACAGACAAGAAATCTTTATAGTTTGGTGCCTGAATTTACTTATTTTAACTCTTTCATCCCATGTTTCTCTTATTTTACATTGTAAATCAATGGTGAGAAATTATTCTTGTTTTCATTAGTCCTATATAAGCCATTTGGGGGTTCTTTTTCAGTACAGTAAATAGCAACTTAAGAAATGACTAAAATTAATTAATCAATTACTATTTAGGCAACTTTCCCATGACACTGGAACATTGCTTTGGTTTGCCTCTTTTAAAGCTGTCATTGGCTGGACTACTGTACAAGATTTTGGGTGACCACTAGATGGCAGCAAAGGAAAATAGATAAATCATGCCCTTTGCTGCCGTCTGGTAATTATCTTGATTTTTGCAGCTCAGAGCTGGTAAGTCTGTCCTGTTCAAATGTTAAGTTTGGTTCCCAGTTCTCAGAAAGTTCTCATTTCCAGAACTATCATATATGTCTGCTCAAATACTAGAGACTATGATCCAGGTCCTCTTTCAGAAGCCGAAACTTAGAAAAGTTATATTGATTCTTAACACAGTGTAAGATCTCCCAAAAGCCAATGCTTTTAACCATTGACTTAGCAATTTTTAAAAATATGCTAACTATATTTTTCTGCCGGATATGTTTCAAAGTTCCTGCTTTTATGCAGATTAAGAAAAAAGAAGTGAATTTGCACTGTTACAGAATATATTATCAAAATTATCTATGCCAGTGGTGGCGAACCTATGGCACGTGTGCCAGAGGCGGCACTCAGAGCGCTCTCTGTGGGCACGCGCGCCATGCCCTGGAGATGGCAACCATCCTCTTCAACCAGCTGCCTGCTAACTCGCTGAGGTCCCATGTGGCCAGATGCATCCCAGCACCCATGCGCTTGTTGGCCTCTGTGGGGGCTGATGGTGTCAGGCAGCAGCCACCCCGGCCCCTGCCTCGCCTTGCCCTGCGATAATGGCACCCCTGCCTTACCTCGCCTTGCCTCACCCTGCAGGACAAGCTTCCTGCACACTGCCCCACCCGCCACAGATGCCCTGGATCTCCCCCAACCCCGCCCGGCCCCCACAGGCATCCTCCCCAGGAGCAACATTGAGCTGGCCATGCCCACCCATTTGCCATGACCACCATAGCCACACCCAGCGGGCCACACTCACCCGGCACCTGGCAATACATAAGTGGGTTTTGGGTTGCAGTTTGGGCACTCAGTCTCTAAAAGGTTCACCATCACTGATTTATACGATGTCTGTTCTGCAAATTTTCAGGAGACATCAGCAGCTGTTTGCAAACAAAGCATAAATCAAAAACTTAATAGGGAGAAGAGAAATTAGCTTGACTTCTTGCATTTAGTGCTTAGGTTTTGTCTACTCAGCTCTAAATAAACACACACACACACAATAACAAAACTATTTTTCAGAATGGCAGACATCAAGTAAACCTTAGTTAGTCCACATATTCTTAGCAATGGATGTTGGAATATTCATGAGCAGGAAGAGTCATGTGGTAACTCAGTCAGCCAATGTGAGAAAAGTGCCACTGAGTCTGTGCAAAAGGGTATTGAGTTAGGAGCTGGATTTTTTTTTATTCAGACTCAAGTCTGTCTCTGTATCTCTCTGTAAGAAATTTTCATTGTGCTATGTTGCTGTAAAGAAGAATGTATGGTATTGTAAATATTTTGATATGAATATAAAGAGGTTATTTGAATCAGCTAAATGCAGTCAACTGTGAGAGCTTCTGATTTATTTTCACCAGAGAAATTAAAGTTCTTTAACAGTGGATATCTGCCTAGCATTTCCCAAAGGAATCTCTTTCAGGGTTAACTTTGTTCTACTTCATGGGTTATATGGCTAGGAGAATCTAGTATGAATTGAAAAAAAAAACAAGGGAAGAGTTAGAGATATTGAAACTTATTTTTGCTTTAAGCAAGGGAGAAAAATATAAATGGGGGATTGCATGTACTGTATCACATGATTTGTAAAATATGAAGCAAAATGATGATGATGAAACTGGAGCCCTAAAACTTCATTTCTGGGCCTGGCAGAGTTCTCCAAAGTATATTTTCAAAACTGGTAAATACTGTCAGAATTGCCAAATATTGCTATTAATATACAAAGCATGAAAGATCCCACACATTTTGAATATCACGTCTCAGCTCATTGGGAGGATTAGATGAACCAGGATAATTGAAAAGAGATAAGTGTCCTATTGTGGCACCAGAATGTCACACCGTGGTCTACAGAAACTGCCAGGATGCTTTATGGGAAGGGACCAAATGCTATAAAGTTTGGAAAGAAAAGTCAAGCCATGTAAGATGCTGAAAATTTTTGCAGCTCATGTTGGAAATAGCTACAGCAATAGCACTTAGACTTACAGTATACACCGCTCCATAATGCTTTATAGCACTCTCTGAGCTGTTCACAATATCAGCCTATTGCCCCCAACAATCTGGGTCCTCATTTTACCAATCTCAGGAGGATGGAAGGCTCAGTCAATCTTGACCCCATCAGGATCAAATTCCAGGCTGTGGGCAGAGTTTGCCTGCAATACTGCATTATGACCACTTCATCACCAGGGCTCAAGGGGTGAGCATGAAAAACTCGTAGAAAATGCAGAATATCATTCTACTAACCAGTGTGATTTAAATTCCAATTGTTCTTAGACACAAAGGCTGAGTTGGGCAGGGATGTAGGTGAAACCATACCCCCACCAACACGGGCAAGGCAAGCTATGGTGTATAAACAGGCAGCAAACCCCACACTCAATAGCACTGACGATGTTATCTAGTCTGGTAAGGAAACATCTGCACTGCAAGCAACATAAAAAAAACATCTGCAAGCATCATCAAAAACAAAAAACATCAGCAAGCAACATCAAAAACACACCAGAAACTGTGGGAGCTATGGTCCAATATATTGTGATAAGATGGCACAGTGTTACTTTTGGAAGTTGAAGAGGTAGAGAAAAATGGTTTGGGGGCTTAAGACATGCAAACAATGTTAGAAGAAGAATGTTAAAGAATTGAAGTATTATTTGAAGTAACTGAAAGATGAGAGGTAGAAGAACATTGTGGGTATCTCAAATGAGAAACAAAGAAATTCATCATTTTTTGAATACCCTTTCCTGGTTACTTTCACATTAATTGAAATTGGACTTCAAAGGAAGTACAATCACTGATGAAATCATCAATCCTGTTTCAAATCAAATCATTTATTACAACCATAAGGTCAGAAAAACAGCAAGATAAAACCTACTATACATGTATGCATATGTGTGTGTTTATTTGTGTGTGTATATCAGTTTACCAAAAATAATTACAAATTATATAAGAATGATAAGAAAATATGTATACAAGAAAATGTGGACAGTAATGGTAAAAAGAGGTGAGATGGGCAGCATATAAATATGATAAATAAATAATAAAATAAGGCAATATAAAATACAAGTAAGTAGATGAAAAATAAAATCTCCAGTTATAAAATGAACGGAAAGGGTACAAAACTGGGGAATCTGGGAGAATACACTTGATTTCTACCAGACATAAGGAGGAAGAAATAAAAGTTGGGCTCTCTCCTGAAGATTTTTTCAGAATGGGGTAGCTGAGGATCACCCAAGAGCCCTCGTGAAGAGATTACCAAAGGAACATATGGCTCAGACACTTTATTGAGGCACCTCTATGGGCTATTTCTCTGATGCAGCCATCCAAGTGGTAAGATTGTCTACCTCAAGAGACCTCTGCTAGTGCGTTGGACTCTGCCCAACCATCAGGTCAAAAGGCTAACTCCAGCACTGCCCTTGAGATGATTGGGGATGAAGGCATTTACAAATTTACAGTCTTTGCATGGAGGCCAAATTGGGAGTCAGTATTTGATGTGGAGGAACAGATGGCAAATCCAGATGGTTGTGCGCAGTTAGTTCAGTTGTGTATCACATGTGTAAAGGAGATTATTCACATGTGATTTGAATATATATAGCTTTATGGTATGGCTTTAAATGATGTTGTTTTGTATGCTTAGTTGAGTTCTGGCAACTGCTCCACAACTGTAATCGGAGAAGTAATTCGCCTAGGTAGGCACCAGCTGAAACCCTTGCATATGGCAAGCTTGTAAAAAATAAAGTTTACTTCAACTTCCAAATGCCAGTTGTTGCTGATGTTTTTATCACATGTCCTAAAACCATTTCTCTCAATGAGAGCTTCGGAAAATTAGGGAAATTCTGGGGAAAAAATTAAGATTTAATTAAACAAAATAGTACTACTATATTTATGTTTGTTAGATGAACAAGAAGCCCTAGAATGCCATTAAAAAAATTAAATATGTGGCAAACATTTATTGATGAATGATTTGTCTGAATTCCAGAAATTCCCTAGTATTTTTAATTTAGATAGTATGCTTCCAGTTTCTCATTTGAAACTATAGTTATTTTTTACCATTTGTCCATTCCAGGAAGGTAATGTGTTATTGTTTTCTCCTTCCCTTGTGACTTTTATTTCTTTGAAGATATTGTTTCATAAAGAGCTGAGGTGGCGCAGCAGTTAGAGTGCAGTACTGCAGGCCACTTTAGCTGACTGTGTTCAGCAGGTCAGCGGTTCAAATCTCACCGGCTCAAGGTTGACTCAGCCTTCCATCCTTCTGGGGTAGGTAAAATGAGGACCCAGATTGTTGGGGGCAATGTAAATATATATATATACATTGCTTACTGGTGTACACTGCTTAGAGAGTGCTTGCACTTAAAGCGGTATATAAGTCTCATAAATAAATATGTCTCCTGTAGTTGTTCCTTTTTTATTATTACAAAGATGTCATCTATATACTGGTTTCATACTTTTGGTTGTATGTGTGGGAATGCTATAGATCCTATAGAGTGCTATGAGCCCTGAGAATGGTGTTCCCATGGGTGGTTCCTCTGATTTGTTGGTATATTAGTCCATAAAACTTACAGTAAGTTGTGAGCCAGAGTATGAAGCGATCCATTATTCTAGGTGAACAAATATAATAGAATGACAATGATAAGCAGAAAAGTGGATCCCAGAGGTCACTGCCAAAGAAAGCTACACAAACTTAAGCTGGTGTTTACATCCAACTGGTCATGGAAAGCAACATTTTCTTATTAACATATTTTTATTTCAGGAACTTTTTTACTGATACATATTAATGCTTTCATCATAAATGTGTTTTTTTAATCTGCATTTTATAGTTTTCTTGACTGTTTGGGGGTGAATGGTAAGATATACGTTTAATAACTAAATAAACAATGGCGTGGACTGGAGTAGAAAAGATGGAGGAAAAAGATAGAAAAGTTTATTTTAAACTCTGTGGGGGGTGGCAATAAAGCAGGCAATAATAATAATGGAAATAAAAATGTAATAGGGATTTGATGTAATTTTCTTATTTTTTAATTTTAAAATGTAATTTAATTCTTTGTAATTTAAAATAATGCAAAAAGCAATTACAAATGAGCTTGAAGAAAAATTAAATAGTGATTATCTAATTATTAGCATGTATAAATTTGAGTGAGGGGGTTCATTTTGCTTGAAAGTAGTCTGTTTTGAAAATGTATTTAATTCCATAGCTTTAAAATTAGCTTAGAAACTTGTGCCAACTTCACCCTGGAAGTTGGATGATAAATTAATGGGATATTTTGTTTTCCTTCCTTTGTTCCTTCCTTCCTTCCTTCCTTCCTTCCTTCCTTCCTTCCTTCCTTCCTTCCCTCCCTCTCTCCCTCCTTCCCTTTCTTCCCCTGGGAATTTCTGCTCTAAGCTTTGCAGGTTTTTATACGATTAGACTATTTTGAGGTTTCTCTACAAGGTCTTCTAAAGTCCAAATTATCTACTTTATACAAATTAATGTATAAGAAATGTCCAAGAGCCATAAGGTTTCCTGTAAAATAATATGATTTAATATCAACATTTTATCTGGTTCCCATCTACCATACCCAGTAAATGATAGCCTAACTGACCTTGCTTAGATTAATACCTGGATTCCATATAAATCCAAGACCATAAACTAATTTAATTAATTTAAACTATTGGGTTTTTGAAGTCATCCAATTCAAAACAACTCTGGGTCAAATAAAATTCTCAGGACTCATAGCTGAGAGTATAATGCGGTATCTAGAAATGGTAGCATTCCCACATATATAACCAAAAGTATGTAACCAGTGTGTAGACAACATCTTTCTCATAATAAAAAAGGATCAACTAGAAGAGGCACATAAAACAATCAACAACGTCTTCAAAGAAACAAAAATCACAAGGGAAGAAGAAAACAACCACATATTAC